GGAAACAAGGGCTTAGGGAACAAGTCTTTTCTTGACGTTAATTAGGTGCACCTTTCCTAAACCTACTTAATGTAAACTGTTTGGCTAATGCTTCGGGAAGGCACCCCCCTCGCCTCCCCATCATGCACCTTAACCGCCCCCAAGGCCCTGCAATCTAGGTAGGTATAGTGCCACAGAGCAACTTTATCCACAACAATCACAGTAAAGGAGGTATACTCTGCTTGTCCGCGGCTTGACCCTTAGGTCTGTGTCAGGGTTATAGTACCACAAAATGTTCAAAGGTTACACACTGGACTACTAGCATACGCTTTTGGATGTAATCTGGTTATGACCATTGCCCCCCAAAACCAACTAAACTGCATCGAAAATTGGCGCCTGGACTGGTGATGGAATGTGCCCAGAGACCTGTGGATGCATTTGGGGTTTTGGAACTTTGAAGGCTGGATGAATAGAATGCAATTTTGTCTGCTCGGTGCCACAGTCAAAGATAGAATGTTGCCAAAGGCGACATAAACCTGCTACCCATTCCTTCTTCGAAATTAGAAGGTTCACGCGCAAGGCCTTAACAAATCCTGTATGGCTTAACTTGGGTTCAGGGCTGTCCATCTGCCACTGCCACACTCCCCCTGCAACGCATGCTAACCATTTGGACCCCACATTATGAGCTGCTCGACGTCCCTTCTTCGTAGGGTGATTACAGGCAGGAGCCCAAGCCCCGAAACCTTCCAGTTGCACGTACCCATGATGATCATGATGCGTCTTGCCTTGGTCGAATCTCAACATGTTCTCCTCCGGCCCCAGAGTGCAATGTCTGACACCCCTTAACCCCTGCAGCCCCGGGGTCTATCTAGACCATGTCAGGCAAGCCGCCTGCTTCGTTGCTGTCAGGGAAGCTTCCTCAACAGTTCTCAGACTAGATTTCCAGCAACTTGGACTGTGTTCAAAAAGCTCTTAGTCCTGGTATATGGAGGCTGTAACGGTACCACCCGCCCCGAAACCCCTACCCTTCATAGTGCTGTCCGGCGACACCATGGTGCTCTTCGTCCGCATCGGTCCCGAGGGACACTTGCCACTGCCGCTCTGGGCGCTCCGCGGCCAGCAGAGTTGCAAGGACACAATACGCCCATGGCAGCATGGCCCGCGTGGGCGGCGAATATGGATTATGGATATGCCAGTGCCCCCTGCACATGAAATCACTCAACCAAATGAAGCAACACCAACCAACCTTTCACAGCTTGCATGCCTCCGATATGTTCCTTTGTGTTCACCCTGGTGGGGCTACGCAAGAGACAGACTACGACATGTTGAGGGCCCGTCTGTCCAGAGCCAAAAGTGACGGCATCAAGACAGATTGAAGGGCAGTCTCAGGCCCATGCCAGCTGTCGCTACCGCTCGAAACCATACTGCAGTGCACTTTCAAAACTCCAGGTGTGCAATCCTCGTGAGAAGATGACATGTGTAAGCCGAATTCAGATACACCCTAGGTTCCTCAACCCCCTAACCCGGCTGACTCCTCAAAACAACTTTGACATTGAGTGACAGCCTCGCTGCCGGTAGGACAAGTGCAGTAACCCTACCAGTCCTGACTACCTCGATACCACTCATGACCCATTACTCTAACAACCCTAAAATTCTCCTTGGAGTCAGGGTGACTTCTATCTTGGACTCGCTTTCGCAGGTTTGAGTCGGCGCTGCGAAGATGCACACTGTATTGAGGCCTTTTCGTCTTTGCCGGCACGGTGCGCATCAGAAAGAAAGTCAAGGACGACATGCTGCTTCCAGTCAAATCAGGCAGCAAAGTGCCCAAAAAAGTCCTTCAACCTTCTTTCCCTTAAAAACCCTAAACCCTAAACCCTAAACCCTAAACCCCTTCAACTCCCAAGAGTGCTGTCCCCTTGTTTTCTTTCCTCGCAAGCCAAAACAGGAGTTGTCTTGATCTTTTTTGGTAATCAGACTTCCGAGGTTGATGTTTCGACTCTCTCTCCCTGGAGACATAAGCCGCAGCCAGGTAAGTAAGACAGACCTCTCGCAAATCAGATGGCGCATGGTCAAAAAGAAGATCGGAAAAATGACGAGGTTAAATTAAGATGATGAGGTTTCAATAAACACGTGAGGTTTAAAAAACAGAATGAGCCTCAGGTGCATTCTCCGGGCCTTTGAGCGGCCTTGCCGCTACCCTTGGCGACCTCACACAAGGAATGCACTGAGGAGGGCGCGACGAAGTCCCGAGACCCACCTTGCCGGCCGGCAGGATGGCGAGCTCCTCAAGACTGCATGAGATCGCCGACGACCTGCCACAAAGGGAGAAGATGAGTCCAACATGAGCCGACATGAGTTCAACATGAGCTCACATGAGTGCTATATGAGCCTCGGGAGCATCCTCCCGGTGTGCACGAGCGGCCTGCCGTAGGGATGAGACATCGGAGCTCACATGAGTTGAGCATGCTACAGGAGCCTCGGGAGCTTCGCCCTGATGCGAGCCAGCGACCTGCCGCAGCAACCCCGCTCCGGTCTTGTTGAGTGGTTTGGGATTCGGCTTCAGGGCTTCGGGACTTTAGGGCTCACGTTTTAAGGATGTTAGGGGTTTAGGGTTCAGGGCTTTGGGGTTCTTGCGCCGGTCTTGAGTGGTGATGGAGGCTCGGGGGCTTTCCCTTCTCTTGGGCGCATGCTGGGCAAGGATGGGACTGTCTTGCGTTTCAGGCGAAGACCAGCTCATAAACGAGCAAGTACAGCGATATTCAGTTTGGAGAACTACAAGATCTTTTCCCTTAGTGCCACATAAATAAACCACAAAAACCCTGAATCAAAGAACCCTAAAGGATCCCTACACGTTATAACCCTAAACCTGAACCTGTAGGCTTGCTGGCAGGGGTCGGGCTGTCGGCTGTGGGGCTTTAGGTCATGGAAGGTTTAGGGATGTCGAAGAAAAGTTTTCAAGGCTGCTGCTGATGATGTTGCCATTCCAGCAGCACTTCGCTTTAATATCATGCGTCTTTGAAGTAAGGCCTGGCCAGAGCATGACATGTGCACAGCGTCGACTTGCCGAAGCTTCCAACCCCTACAAGCTGCCACCTGCAACAGCACGAGAAAGCTCCAGGCAGCTTGCTGCAAAAAAGTGGCAGTCCTTTGATCGAACGCCCAGCCTTGGGCCTAGCCATCGATTTCTCGATGTGGCATTCACGATATCAGAAAGGCGGAGTAGGGACGAAATCTGATGAGATCGGTTATCTCTTCGGTGCTCTTAAAAATGCTGGTTTCGAAAATGCGCAAGATAAGCTGTATAAAGTGGTACCACAAAGTGAAGCCATGATGAAGGTATCCTGGCACAAATGGGCGCTAGCAAAGCCTCGAGGGGTCTCTGCACCATCAAGTACAGCAGCAATGCACACATAAGATGCGCCAACAACAGCCCCGGACCCAGCAGCAGCTGTTCCCAGCGTGGATCTGCTCGATTGCTCCGCACCAATGGCAGACCCTTTGATGAGTAGCCCTCTAGCAGGAAGGTCTGCAAAGGGTTCTCCGTCACCAGGATGCAGAAGCTGAGTCGGGACAGCAAGCTGAAGCCAGAACAGCACGAAAGGCTCTGCACCCTGCTCTCGGTCCTCAGCAGGATACAGAGACCCAGCACGAAGGGCACGTCCCCCACCACATCCTTTACATTGCGCTCCTGGCACCAAAGTGCATAATCCTCTCGATTGATCCAGGTCGACCAAAGCCACCCAGTCCCTGCAGCTAGCAGACCAACACGCTGTGTCATGAAGCCTTTGGGGAAAAACCCTACCGTAGTCCTTGCCAGCAGAAAAAGTCCCAAGAATGCTGGGTTCTCAAGCCTTTTCACAAACATGTGGTTCGCCCCGGCATTCAGCTCCCGTCGCAGCGGCTCATGGAAATAGTCGAAGTAATAGTACACAAAGGCGAATAAAACCAAAACTGATTGGAGAGCACTGGCATAGTTCAAGCCTGCTGCTTGAAGAAGCAAGAAGCCAAAGCAAGCTAGAATCCTTTCTGTAGCATCTCTCACCTGCCAGTTGATGGTGAAAAAACGAGAGGCACAACTCCAAAACGACGACCTACATTCCAAACCATCCATAACTTCGTTGGTCCATATCAGCGTTGAGCCTTCCAGCTTGCTCAAGGTTGTGTCCACATACGAAAGCGGCCGTGCATGAAAGGCGTAGCGACTGCCCGTGCGATCCCACCACACGGACAATACTATCAAAGGGAACTGACGCAAAAATTTCCGAACTAATTTAAGAGCACAGTTCTTAGAAGTTTCAGGGAAAGATGTCTGTCGTTCTGGTACCCCGAGTGCTAAGTGAAGCGTCAGAACAGTCATGGCCACCACAGCTCTGCAACAGAAGGCAAGTCGCAAGTCCCAGCTTGCCACACGGTCCGTGCGGGTCTTGATTTGTGCCTGCTCCAAGTGCAAAAACACTAGCAGCAAGGTAGATACAGCACGGAGGAAGTCTACTGCAAAGCCAACCGAAGGACGACACAAATCTGCCCATGATCGCTTCAGCGACAAAGAAATCACCACATGCATTGCAGTCCTCCTTACCGGGTTCATGACAAGCGTCAGATCTGAAACTGAGAGCGCATGTTTGTCTGATAGCCAGAAGTGGTCACACACGGTTGCAGATAAAAGTATCAGAAACACAACGGCCAGGAAGATCAGCACTTGGAAGGAAACATCATCCATCCGATCACGTAGAGACGAAGTTTCTCCCTCCGGATGGACAGATTCCAACAAGCGAGGCCACTCCCAAGCATCGACTGATCGAACAGTCATCACGACGCGCTGCGCATCTGCGATCTGCATTGTATATTCAGGCACCAGGTCATTGACCACCTCCTCCGCAGAGCAAACCTTTGGAGCGCAAAATCCGAAATGAAGAACCTGCGACGTGGCTCGAATAGCCTGCGCATCCGTAGGCGAGTCAAAGCCCAGCCGAATCAGAAAAAAACGGCCATGGAAAGCTATGCAGCCACCCACGTCACCATGGCGTTGGCCATCCCAACCGTGCGACAAATGTCGAAGTGGTATTCCAGAAAACTCAGCATAAACCCCTGTAGGAGGGCCCCATTGAATATTCAGATCCCAACCCCACCGCCTTTGGCATTCTGACATGCCTTTAAACAGCGCGCTGTTGCGGATCACTGCGCTCTGCTTACCCTTGTAATCATGATTCTGGTAATTCCACGCGTTGAGAGCAGGTTCGGTTCGGGGAATGCAACAGGCTTCGTAGGAGAAACGTCCGTCCCAGCACGCAGCCTCCCCCTTCGGGCCTTTCGTGATATCACAACATAGCTGATATGTGTAGCCCTCAATCCAACAGCCGGGATTTCCATTAGCCCAGACTGCTGATGCTTGAAGCGCCAGCACCAACGTGCTCATCAGCACCCGCAACATCATTTAGACCGATTTGACAGTTGTTCCATGCGGAGTTGGGGGCAAACGTCAGTTGAATTTGGGACAGCTTGAGCCAAACCCCATTCCAACTATTAAGGCCTCTACAGTAGGCATGAAAGAACTGAGGAATCCTGTAGAGATGAGGGCAAAGGCCCAAGCAGGAGTTCCCCGAGCTCGTACCTTGACATCTTCATTTCGGCACCAGGGGTATCGTGACGAATCAGGGAGAAGGCAAGCCAAGATAGGAAGAAAACAGCATGGCAACCTGTGTGGACACAACAAAGAGCCTGTCTGCGAGCTGTATAGTTGGTTCTCACCAACCAGACACCGATCGCGTTTCGAAAGCCGCCGCCTTCTGTTCAACATGAGTCCACCCTCCTAGCATACCTGCTCGGATGCTACGGATTTAGGGGTGTAGGGTTTATGTAGGGGTTTNNGGGTTTAGGGTTTAGGGAACTCTGAGCTTACTCCACTGGAGCCCTCTCACAAGAAACATGTAGGCTGTAGAGAACCGGGGACCTGCTTGTGATCACGGTCTGCACTTGATCTACATGTACCATAAAATCAGAGCAAGACTTTGCGATAACATACTGTAAGATGCAGGAATATGCTGTAGCATAGTGCAATCAATATATATATATATATAT